AGTGGGTCCCAAGTCCATTCTACACCAGCTATGTCGGCCACAGGCTGCCCCAAGGAACCAAGGAATGAACGTGCCAGGCGGGCTGGACGACGTGCCCTCCTACCCAGCTTGAACCCACACCCCACCCACAGCAGAGCCTCTGCACTGCTCCTACCTCAAGGTCTGCAGCCGCCAGGCTTCTAGCCACTGAGGACCCTGTGTTGTGGGGGAGGGGACGTGAACTGCCATTGGCCCAAGTCTTGGCCACACAGACAGCCCCCCCCACCCCATCTTTTCGGGGTCAGGAGAGAAGGAAAAAGTCACCTATTAAAACTCAAGTCCACACCCCACTGGAAAAAGACTCTTAGAAAACGGCCCAGAATGACACGTGGACCTATGGCCCCGTCAGCACTCTGGGGTCAGCCACACGTCGCTCAGCACCGGTGGTCTCCTCTGCCCTGTCGGCTCTGGGTAGGGCGATAAGGAGAAGTGAAGCATACGCCCCGTGAAGCAACCAGCGAGCCGTTCTTAGCTGGTGACATGACTGATCACCCAGAAAGCCCAAGGAAAGCAACTCGAACACTACGTGCCCCGTCCAGAGCGGATACTGTGAAAGTCAGGACTTCTTCACACAGCACTAAGCAGTGAAATATGACACGTAAAAGGATCCCATTCACAGTCCAACAAAAACAAGCAACTAGCACAAGAGGAATATATTTCAAATTTAGAAAGAGCCCAAACACGCTCAACCTAGGCAAGTGCAGGGCTCCCAGAGAAAAGCTGTTTCATCCTATGTCAAATGTTTGTCCAAATTGATTGACATTTGCAACATAAAAAGTGAAACTACAGAAGTAAGAGAAGAAAGTGCAGGCGTGGGTTTACAGATTGAACGATTATTACCTGGGCCTGGGCTTGTGTAAGGCGACACCAAGGCCAGAAATTGCCAGAAACAAAGGTATTGATGAATCTGACCATATGAAAATTAAACACATCCATACAAAAAAAAAATGTAGCAACTTTACAAGATAAGTGGTAGCCGTGGTGGGGGCCGCTCAGGGGAAGCCTTTATATATTCGGAACAGCAAACATCCCAACAGGAGCCCGAGTCAGGGGCACGCGCCAGCCACTCAGACGCCCCAACACGCAGAAGGCAGACGAGGGTCAGTATCGTTGGCAATCCAAGTGTTAAGACAACCTCTACCTTTTGGATTGTCAAAAATAAAAACACCACTGACACCCAGAGTTGGCGGGGATTCGGGAGAGGGCTTATGAGGGTGCTGGGCGAGGCAGGCGCTGACCTGGGCTGGAAGCAGGCCCCCCCTTTCTCTCCCCTTCGCCCTTCCTAGCATTCGGTTTAGTCGTTCACATTTCCTATGTGCCGTAGGTCTCCCCCTTCCCCTTGTCTGGTTACCCCGCACTTGCCGCAGCTACTGTCATGTAACGAGCACCCTGGACAGTACCTGGCTCGTGGGCACCTGGACAGATGGACCAAGCTCCTTTACACGGACGCTGACTCGGTGGGGTCAGTCCTAGGAGTTTGTCCTAAGGAAATAGGGCCAAGTGTGCAAAGATGAACAGACAGAGACGTGCATTGCTAAACTGTGTAAGATGTCCTATATGAGGAAATTAGGGAACCAGAGAACATTATATCTACACAGAAGGGGCTACAAAGCAGCGATTCTCAGCCCTAACTGCCCATCAGAATCATCATGGGGTCTTAAAGATGGAGCCATGCCTGAGCCCCCCTCACCCACCCCACGCTGCTGGGGGCGGCGCTCAGGCATCCAAAGCTTTTAAGAGCGCCCACAGAGTCCAGTTCACAGCCAGGGCTGAGGGCTGCTGCTGTAAATTTAGCCAACAAACGATGCTCAGAGCTATAAGACGTCTGCAGCATGCTGCTAAGCAAAGAAGCAGGTTGTGACAAAACTGTCTACGGAACATGATCTCACTTCTGCACCAAAGGAAAAAAGTGTTTCTGAATGGCTGCGGGTGTGGGGACATTCCTGGAAAAGGGCTCAGGAAGACTCACACTGGAGCTCCCGGTGCCACACTTACAGATGATGCCTTGGTTTTCCTATTTAGGACAATTTTAGGAAAAACAGGAAAGTATGAAATTCTTACAAATGTACACATTTTAATGCTACTATAATTAGAAAAAAGTGAAGGCCTGTTTTAAATGTTAAGAAAGGTGACGGAACCCGGCAGCCGCCTGCCGTGGGTGCCGCCTGCCCTCCCCCCAGCACAGGGGCCAGGCTCTCTGCAGCCGCCAAGGCCCGCCGGTGCCCAGTCTCCTCCGGGCGAACCTCAGGGAGTGGTTCCTCCCTCAGCTAATGCCTCAGTAGGTGCGAGACAAGCCATGGCTGCTGAGAAGGGTGGGAACCCCACTAGCTTCCCCAGATGCTCCGCAGGAACCCCTCTCAGCACCACATGGCCCCCTTGTTGCACCCGGGGTGCCAAGACAGAGCGAAACGGAGCGGCTCGCCCAACACCCCGCAGCTCTGGGGCAGAGTGGCAGCAGGCATGCAGCTACCCTGGCAAGTTCAATCCCTAAGATAAACTGGCCCCCCGAAGTCAGAGAGGGATAGAATGACAGGAGGGTGGAGGTGAGGGGAAGAGGGGAGCTGGCCTTGGCTCTGGGGGAAGGAAGAGGCGCGGGCGTTCTGAACACGCCCCAGCCCCTGCCACACTTGACTCCAGGGGATGGGCAGGGACGCGCATTTAAGATCTTCTGTGTCACAGTTACGTTTCCCAAAAGAAATTACCTGGCACTTTGTTAAACTGCTCTCTTATTTTCTTTTTTCCTTTTCTCTGTACACCAAATTTGATATATTAATTGGGTGTTTTAACCTAAAAAATTCATCAGAAGGCCTCACATTGCCATAGCAACCGTGCAGCCCCAGTGAATGAGAGTCACCAGCACGACACTGTCACCCCTGTAAGCCCACTCTGCAGTGGGGTGGGCCAGTCGTGGGACGCTGTCTGGAGGGTTGGACGGGGTGACTTCACACCCCAGCACATAGAAGAGGTGGGGTTCGGGGAACGTGGCTCCCCTCCTACAAGGCCCCCCCTTCCTTTCCAAACCCCATTCTTCCTGTCTAAGTAAAGCCATGGCCTTCATGCCAATTGCTGCACAGAGCACCCTCTCTGCAGACACATGCTGTGACTCCAAGCCGGATGTGCCCTGATGGATGTGCAAACATGGAATTAAAGTGGAACAAAGATAATGTCTCCCCTAAATAACAACCCCCCCCCCCAGATAACGTGCCCAGGGACAGGCTTGGCCTCCTGGTCTCACCAAAACCCAGGTAAGTCCCAATCATGTGTTCACTTTGGGGACGTTGCCACCATGCCCAGTGATAAGCAGGTGATTGAGGGTCACATGTCCTAAAGTAGCCAAAGTCAGTTACCCACCTCGCACAAGCCAAGAAAGGCTGGAGCCTCTGCCACCCTTGTGCAGGCAAGTGGGAGTGGGGGTGTGCTAAATAATTCTCCAGTCAGCCTGCGAGCATCACAGGGAGATTCTGTACTCTATTTGCCTTTTAATGACCCTTGAATCCTGAGACATGAGGCACTGTGGGCAAGTAGAAAAATTCTACTTGAAAAAGCTGGAGGCCGCATTCGTGCTCTGTTTCTGCCTCGATTTCTCTATTTCTGCCTCGACTTCTCTATTTCTGCCATCTGTGCCTTGGAGAGTATAATGCTAAGGTACGAAAGAGTGGCCAGCTCTCGGCCGACACCAGCAAATGCTGACATCAGGTGTGTTTCTCAGACGTGTCCTCATCCTGCCGTCAGAAGCTAGATGTAACTCTGCTTCCTGATTGGTTCCTGATTTACTCTGGGCTTTCTATGAATATTTATACTAAAATCAAAAACATATAACCTATGAAACATGCATAGCAGTGAGTTCTGCTGTCCCGAAGTTCAGAACACAGTGACAAGCAGTCCCGGGTCACACTGACCTGTGTGGCTGGTCCTGACCGGAACGGTGGCCAGGCACCCCGGGGGCAGCTCTCCTGTGGGCTCCTGCCCCATCACTGTCTGGCGATCCTGGCCCTTGGCCTGCACACTCACCAACACAGGCCTGAGGCAGGACGCTTGTAATTTTCTATAATGCTTAAATTATTGATCAGAAACAAATAGCTTGGGCTCTCAAGCTGAGCTGTGCTCTAAAATGATAAAAGATCCATCATACCTTTGCAGGCTGCCTACAGATGAAAAAAAATGCATATTTTGACTATTTTAAGAAAATGTCAAAAAACATGAAATGTGTCATCATTGTACCATTTAGATGATCTGCACGGCATCTGGAGAAAAGGGCTGTGTGTTAGTGTGTGAATGTCACAGTGCCCCAAGGCAACGCGCAGCCACCTCCCCTCTGGTGCCAGGGCGACGTTCCCCGGGCCTGGACGGGCTGCTGCCTGCCGCTGCTTTCCGCCAGCACCCACCTCTGTATGGCCACACCTGTCCTCTGAGTGGGCGGCTTTACCGCAGGAGGACCTGAGGGAAAACTAGATTCCAAAGGGCAGGTCTTTGCACAAAGGCAAGACCACCCCCACCGCTCGAGTGCAAAGCTGGGGCATGCGGTGGCCACGCGTCTGTCACCCTGGAGACTGAGGGCGAGGCTGCCCCGTGCCACCTGTGGGGCGGCGCCTTCCTTCGCAAAGTTGGCACAGCACAGGTGCAGGGTGATAAACCAAGCCACTCACTGCCCTTAAACAGAAAACAAAAACATGCAGCCCTTGGTGTCACACCTAAGCCCAGAGACGCACGACCACGAACACGCCATCACTGGGCACGGAGAATTCAGGCAGGTGCCCTGGACACGCGTGGGCATGGCAGGCACAGTCCACGAGTTTCCTCTGAAAACGACCCGCCCCAGGACGCCTTCCCACCCGGCTGGGTGCGGTGTCCGGACGCGAGGAAATCCTACTGCCGCGCCCCTCCCCCCGCGCGACCAGGCGTGAGATCCCCACGCTGTCCCCGAGAGCGGCCCAGAGTCCCCTCCGTGGGGACGCACTCACCGTCCTCCTTGTCGTCAAAAACCGGCCTCCGCGCTGCGGCTGCTGACACGGAGCTCATCCTCTTCTTCCACTTGCTCCACGCAAACAGGGGGCGCGGCTGCGCGCGGGCATCGCCCGAGTCGCGGGCTCGGGGCTGGCCGGCCGCGGGCGGCTGCAGGGCCGGGGGCGCGTCGGGGCCCGCAGGGCGTGCACGGCCGGAGGGCGGCGAGCCCGGGGGCGCCGAGGCGCTGCTGCCCCTGCGTTCCGCGCCGCTCCTCATCGCCGGGCCGGAGCGCGTGCCGCAGCCGGAGCGCGGAGCATGGCCCACCCGCCGGGCCGGGAGCGGGAGCGGCTGGCAGCGCCCGCCGTGCGCCCCAGCATCCACGCTCGCGGGTCCTGGAGGCCGTGCCGGCTCCGGCGGCTGCGAGCGCGCGGGGGCGGACCCGGGGCGGGGCCGGCGGGAAGGAGTTGGGGTGAAGCCGAGCGCCGGGGGCGGAGACAGGGCGGGACTGGCGCGGGCTGCGGCGCGCTGCGCGGTGTGCCCGCTGGCCACCTCGGGCGGGGCTCGGACCGCGACACCGACTGGGCTGGGCGGCGGGGACAACAGCTAGGGAGGCAAGGCCGTGGTCCCCTCTGGGTATCTTGGCGTTTCGGGGACGGACACAGCTCCAGCAGGCCAGGCGGCGGAGACTACGGGGTCTCCTTGGGCCTCCCCACCCCCAATGCCTTCGTGAATAAAGCGGGCCCTCAGACCGCCGCCGCGGGATCTGGGGAACCTTAAACCTCAGCCTGCGGCGCTGCGCTTCGCGAGGCCACGCGGGACTCGGGATGGGGCGGCAGGAAACGGCTGCGCAGGGGCCGAGGCCCGCTCGCGCTCAGGACTCGCGGCTCCGAGGTGCCGGCCCGGTGCGAACCCCACCCTGGAGCTCCAGGCAGCCTGCGAGGCTGCGCCTGGGAATCCATGGGGTGCAGGATGGGGGAGGGGCGGCAGCGGGGATGGTGCTCAAGCCCCTCCCCATGCGGCTGTCACGGAGCCTGGGTGCGAACTCCTGCGCCGGGGGTCCCGGCAGCGCTGAGCACAAGCACCCGTGGTCTCCGGGTCCCATTTGCTGGGTCTCCGGTCCTCCTCCCAACGCGGCCGGCAGCACACGGGTCCTGAACAGGAGCCCCTGGCGCAGGTCTGGGCCGCAGGCCCGCCGGGGGACCCTGTACCTGTTACCCAGGGTCCCCTGGCCCTGCCCAGGTTTGACAGGGGCCGGACGCTGACCGCTGGACTCCGCCCCTGCTCACACAACCAGGTGAGCCCCGCGAGTTAAGTGCTCAGCACAGCGAAGGCCCCAGAGGGCCTCGGCCCTTTCAGCAGCGCCCAGTGCCCGGCGCCAGCGCTGTCACTGGAGAACCGTACTGTGTGGGTTGCTGGACTTCGACTTTTGGAAATCTTTGCCTCCTTAAGCTCGGCCTCATGGCCAGGCCACAGAGCCAGCCATTCCTGCCTGCCCCGCGGAGCCCTGGCAGGACCTTATGCCGCCGCGCGTGGTTTGCGGGTCTCTCCGGCCGCCACATCCTTCGGTCTCCTTGGGCTCTGACCGGCTCTAGCAGCCCCTCGCCCGGCTCATCCCCCCCCCCCTCGTAGCAATCAGCATCCTTCTGCCATGCTATGGGGGTACATCCGTCCCCACCCCACCTTCGAAATTCAGTGTGGCTCCTCCGCCTGCTTGGCCAGTGAAATGTGAGCAGAGCTGACCGGTGTCGCTTTGGGGCCACGCCTCACGGGCCCGTGTCCAGCCGGCCAGGCAGCTCTTGCAGACCGCCTGCCCACCAGCCTGGGTGGGAGCAGCGCTGCGGTGAGCCAAGGACAGGGGCTATCGGACACGCGCAACCTGGGGCAGCCCCCCCCCCCACCGTCTACCGCGCACATCCCGCCCCCCTGGCTGACGTCTGCGTGCCTGGTCTGCGCGCGTCCCTGCAGGAGACGAGTTTCCGGCCCCCACGTCGGGCCCGCCCTGCGCGCTTGGCGCCCTCCTCCAGCGGCCGCTTCCGGGAGGCACGCTGCAGGCGCCCGCGCAGGGCGGCCACGCTAGGACTCCGTCCCGCGCGGGAGCACCCGACGCGGGGAGGTGCCCATCAGAACCTCCCAGAGCCCCGCACAGCAGCCTCGGCTTCTCCAGGGCAGACTGACCACACTTGTCTATGTCCTCTCCTCCGAGACCCCCTGAAGGGGCAGAAAAGGACTAAAGAGGTGTAACCCTGCCTGCACCTCGGAGAGGGAACATGAGAAGGGATGTCAGTAGGAAAACATGTTAATGGAGTAAGAGGTTGGCTGGAAAAGCTACTGTGACTATCCGAGAGACTGGGGGCTTGGAGGTAACGGGGCCACAGGGGTGCAGGGGCCTAACCTCGGGGGAGGGGCTGGAAGGGCCGCACAGAGCAGTGGAGCCCAGGGTGCCTCCCACCCAGGGCAGTGGGGGCTGGACAGTCCTCGGGATAGAGGACCAGGGTCTCCTGACTCAGGACCACCAGACCCACCCGAAGGCAGAGCAAGGACCTGCAGGGACTGGTGGCATCGGCACACTGACCCGAGAGCCCCGAGCGCCAAGCCGGGCACCTGCCCTCAGGCAGGAAACAGGAAGACTCTCCTCTAGAGAAACAGAGCAGGTCCCCAAACACCCCTGGGCCCTGAGATGTGGGGCTCCTTGCAGGCTCCGGCAGGCAGGAGGACCCAGCCTAGTGGACGGCCCTACGGCTAACTTACGGGCTCAGGGCACAGCTGTCTCCGTGTCTGGGGGCCACTCTCCCGCCCCAGTGCGGGCCCGGGGTGCACAAGGATCGGATGGCGTGAGCCAGGTCAGGCTCAAAGAGCGGAGCACAGTGTGGGCTGGAGACAGCAGGCAGGAGTTGCCTCTGCTGAGAGCGGACCAGGGCTCTGCACCCCTGAAGGTGACTGTGAAGTTCTGAGGGGCTGGAGGGGACTAAGGCTGGAACAGGGGCCAACTGTGAAGGGAGGGGGGCAGTGAAGCCAACAGCGTGACCTTGGGTGCCCACACCGATCAGGAATGTCCTCTGTCCTGTTCCAGTGACAGGAGACCATCATGCCCCATAACCAGATAAATGGGTCTACAACGTCCAGGGTTCGGGCATGCACAGACAGGCCCACGGGCGCTGTGTGACCAAGGGACCGCTTTAGCTGGGGTGGCCCGGAGGGGTCTGAGCAGGTGACCATGTCGCTGAGACCCGAGCATAAGCAGGCAGTCCTCTGAAGCCCAGGACCCAGGGACTGCTAGGACACTGGCCCTGAGGTCGAAAGGAGCTAGTGTGCGAGGGAAGACGTGGCTGCTGGGAGACAGTGGACGCCCTGAGACCGGGAGTATGCAGAGCGGCTGGGCTCACTTGTATTTGCAGCCCGGTCCCTGACACCCAAGCATGAGTGTCCCATAATTTGTCCAAAAGCTGCGCCTCCGGGGGAGGATGGCTTTGACATCGAGTAAGCAATTGTCCCCTAAGTGGAACAGCGGGGCCCGTTGGCTTCCGTGTGTACCCTGTGTTATGTTTCGTTCCGAAATGAACACTGTGGGCTCCCGACACTGCCCGCACCGTGTACATGGTGCTTGCACGAAACGCCCCTCATGATGCCCGATCTGAATGTGCTGTTTCCTGCTGGGACAGATCCCAGAACTGGGCCAGGAGACAGAAAGCAAGCTCCAGTGGGACTGTGATCACGGTGGGTCACCTGTGTGGAGGGCCCTCCCACAGAAAGTGCGAAGCAGTCATCTCTGGCTGCAGTGGGACATGGGACGAAGTACATGTACAAGGCCAGGATCTAGAAGTCACCCCAGGGATACTCGGCAGCTTGGTGACAATTTAGATTCTTGGGGCCCTAGGCCGCCTGGCCGCTTTTCATTACTAGAAGGTGAGCAGCTGCCAGGCTGCGGCAGGAACCCTCCAGCCCTGCCCACGGACCAGGGCAGCCGCACAAACAGCTTTAAGTGCATCGCTCTGCTAATGTGTCAGTTCCCAGGGCTGCTGTCACAGAGACCACACGCTGGTGGCCAAAACCAGCAGGAATCCATTCTCTTGCAGCCTGGAGACCAGAAGTCCAAAGTCCAGGTGTCAGCAGGGTTGGCTCCTTCTGGAGGCTGAGGAAGCATCTGGTCCGAGCTGCTTGCCAGCTTCTGAGGGATAAACACAGAGCGTCTTCAGACAGTGGAACAGGGCTCAGCAGCAAAAGGATGGGACACTGATGCCGGTGACAATGTGAAGGGACCTCAAAACTAGTATAAGATGAAAAAAGCCAGATGAAAGACCATGTGTATATGATTCCACTTATATGAAACATCCAGAGGAAAATTTATAGACAAAGCATTTCAGCACTTGCCTGGGGCTGGAGGTGACCACGGGGCTGACCGCACAGACGTGGGAACTCGGGGTGATGCAGATGTAGAGCTGGGGTGTGGTGCCGGCTGCACAGCTCTACAAATTTACTAAAAGTCAGTGAACTGTATCTTTGCGATGGGCTGTCCTCAAGGGTCTTTTTGTTTCAGTTGGTCACTTCCCACCTTTATCAAGATTTAGTTTACACACTATGAAATTTATACATTGTACCTCAAAAGGCAGTTTTTTAAGAGCTTGCAGGCGAGAGGGTGGCTGAGTGGGCTGTTGGTAGTTCAAAGGTACATGCTTGCTTGTCTGGGGACCCGCTGCAGGGAGCTGGCCTTGGGTTAGCTTGGACATCATTCCAGAGAGAGTAGAGATGTGACTCTGGCTATCCCCACGATGGTGCGACGTGACCGACCACCCCCAAGTCTAGTGTTTCACTGCCAAGCACCTGTGTCAAGCGCACGTGCGTGCAGTTGGCTTTATAGGAGTGATGGAGGCCCCTGAGAGTCTTAATGGACGCAGGGAAAGTCTGGTTGTCTTGGGGGGAGGGTGCTGCTGCCCCGCCTGTGCCCATGGGAAGACTCTGCTTTACCCTCAGAAAGGAGGGGAGAGGAGAGAGCCGGGGACCAGCAAGATGGCAGAGGGGCTGCGACCCAGTGAGGTGAAGGGCCTGTGACGGGTGGTGGGAGGGGACCTTAGAAGGGCAGGGCTGCCCTCCACCTGAGAGCTTCTGGTGAGTGGGGATTTTGAGGACCTTGAAGATGCCCGGACTTTGAGAATGGGTCGATGCAGAGTAAGAGAGAGAGGGCAGAAAGTGGGGGCCATGCAGAAGCCAGCCCTCCCGCCATCTGCCGCCGCCTCACAGGCCTGAAGTCACAGGGGCCTGGCAGAGGGGGACTGGATCCCACAGGCCATGGAATTGGCACAGCGGGGGCAGACTATGAGGCTAAATGGCTTTGTACCCAAATCTCAAGGCCACGAGGACGGGGTCCAGGAGCTGAGCGAATCAGAGGAGAGTTCAGCTTGGCTGAGAAGTTCGGGGTGCGTTCATGGCCCCCCTGCGGTCTGATGCAGGGGCTCCTCCCTGCTGACACAGCCCATCCCCACGGCATGCTCAGAGCACGTGACGTGGGGACACGAAGGGCACCTATTCTTTGCTGTCTTAATTCTTTTTCAGGAATGAGGACACTGGTGAACGGCATGCAGGCAGAGCGGAGCCTGCTGAAAAGCTCGGAGCGTGTTGAACATCTTCCAGAAAATAACTGTAGGCCTTGTGAACTGTGAGACTCACAGTAGATTGCAAGTTTTTTTAAAAATGGTTACTTATTTGCTTTTTTCTTGATGTAGAAGAATATTAGTCATTGAAAACTATCCAGCTCACCTTATAACATTTTCACGCCAAGGTAATAAACAGAAAATGAAATGGAGCAAAACTATTCTATTGTCCTTTACTTGAAAACATTTACTTCCTCTGGGCAGAAAGCATTATAAGCTCTTGCTTAGCAGCCTTCCACGATTCTCTCCACCCATGGCTACATCAGATCATTTTTAAAAGAAAAATTTAAAAACCAAAACACTTCCATAGATCAAAAGTGAAACAAGGACTGTGTCTTTGGGCCTGAGGGGCTCTGGGTCAGAAACAGGCAAACACGCTGGGCACGCCAGGCCCGAGCAGCAAAGGGTCCGAAACCACCCCAGGGGGGTGGAGAATGTCAGCCAAGAGCATCACCTACACTCAGGGCTGGAACCAGCCCCCCACCTCCATGACAGGAAGCAGAGAAAGAAATCAGCTTGTGCGGCGATGACCTGACTCGCCAGCTGGGCAGCCCTGAGGCCGGCACTTACTGGTCCGTGACAAGGTCTGCCGTTCTCAGTGGTGTGGTCAGCAGGGGTCCTGGGCAAAACACACATCGCTGCCTGAGCCTCAAGGCGGACAGAGGCGCCTGCGAGACCAGCACACAGGGAAGGGTGAGCACAGAGAGAAAACGGGATACAAAGCCCTCACTTAGGATGAGCTGGCAAGCTTAAATTCCAAAACATGTAAGAAAGGTAACAATATAAGAATCAGCGGATGAATTCAGCCCAGATGAAATGAAAATGACAGAGCAGTCTGAAGATTAAAATAATAGAGCAGGCTTTAGGATTCTCATAGTGGATAAGGAGAAAACACACACAAAAATTTTAAAGTGATTCTAATGCAAAAACTGGAACAAATGAAGAACAAGTGGATACAGAAAAGAAAATTAGCAATTAAAAATGAAGTCATTTAAAAGAACTCAACAGACAAGACAAACTCTTACACTCTCAGTGGAGACAGATTTAGTGAACCAGAAGATAGTTCACCCAGAACACAGGTAAAAATCAGCAAGAGTGGTGTTGAGACATGCAGAACAGACTGAGTGATTTGAACCTACTCTCTTACAGGAGGTCCAGAAGTAGAGCATCCAAGTCAGGATGCAGAGACACGACGTGAAGATAGCAGGCGTGGAAGGGTCCAGAGCCGAAGGCGTAAGATCTCAGCTAGAAAGTACACACCAAGCGCCAAGCAGTATAACTGAAAACCCACACTTAGAATTACTGCAGTGAAATTTCAGAACAAGGACACAGAAAGGAAAGATTTTCTTCACAGAAGCAGCAACAGCTGGACAGCAAACATCTCATCTGCAGTGATAGCTTCCAGGGTGTAATGTCTTTAAAATTCTTATAGAAAAAAAACTGCCAACAAGGAGTTCTATACCAGCTAAACCATCACTCAAGAGTGAGGTCAAAATCAAGGCCTCACACATCCATGGGCTTGGAAAAACCACCCTTTTGTGCCTGTGGCTTCTCCCCTTCCAGCAGGAACGCCTACAGCCTGTCCCACGGCTGCAGGTCCCCTGAAAGCTGCTTTGAACCTCTCTCTCATCTGCCCTGTATTTGTGTCTCCGGAAACTACTTCCTTTCTGCCTTCCGAATCTCCTGTGAAAGCCTCTTGGTGGCAATTTTAACTAACCTGTAACCATACTGAAAAGCATTCCAGGGGATGTAGTTCCCAACATCTCTGCAGAGATAGAAGTGCCGGTGGAGCCCGGCTGACCAGCCTGTCCAGCGCCCCGGGCTGGAGCTGTCCACGGAGTCGCCGGTGTGGGCTGCACTTGTCTCTGAGTTTTCTAAACTTGACTCTTCTTGCTTTTTGGGGGATATTTTCTTCTGACCTACTTTCCACATCACCAATTCTTTCTTCAGCTCTAATTTGCTAGTGAACCAATCCACTGCGTTTTTAATACGTTATTGTATCTCTCAGGTCCTGAATTCCAACTTGATTCCTCGTTGCAGTTTCTGGTATCATTCTTTGCTTTCATGTCCTTGAACATGATACGCCTGGTTACTTTAAGGTGTGTGCTTGCTAGCTCCATCATCTGGGCCGCTCACGGGTCAGTTTCTGTTTGCTGTTGTTTCTTTGGGGTTTAATCGTGGGTTCGTGGTGCCCTGTGTGTGACCTACGCTGTACATTTTAAAACCATGGGGCTGACTGGAGGCCTCAGATGGGATTTTCTCCCTCTCCTACAAAGGACGGACATCTGCTTCTGGGAGGGAGTCAAGAGTGCAGCACCCCAGGTCCCCTTAATGCAGGCAGGGTTGAACATGATCTGAAGCTGAGCTTCGTCCCCGCAAGGCTTGGTTTTTTCCCAGTTCACTCTTTCCCTAGAGCACTTTGGAGCCTCCACTCAAAGCCCGGGGACTCCCCAGCGCTTCCGCCTCCGTGGAGGTCTCGGGATAACGACTTGTCCCTTTGGTCATTGGTCTGCTGGGAGCTTCGCTCAGACGCTGAGCCTTCCAACGCTTCCAGAGGGAGAGATGCTCGTTGGAGAGAAGCGACCGCAGTGGCCACGCTCACCTTTCTGGAATCCACCTTTGGCCTTGGCCCCACTGGTCGCCACTGCCTTGTCCGGGGAAGGGCTGTTCTGGATGAGCGGGCCGCTGTCGCCACGGCAGAAAACCAGAGCGCCGGTGCACAGCGCGGGGGCTCTTGTTTTAAAACCTGTGTGAACCTCTTCACTGGCGTTGTCGCTGATGCTCTTGGTTGTTCCGCAACCGGTCACTCCCTTCCTCACTTCCAGCAGCGCCCCCGCCTTGTTTTCAGGCACTGTGACGGCTTCGTGGTTGTCAGCCTGGCTGGGCGCGCCCTTCCCCGGAAGTCTCTTCCCTGCAGGTTTCCTAACTGGGCCGCAAGGGGCATGTGTGTGAAGTGGGCGGAAGTGACCGGCAGCTGCGCTTTCACATCTGGAAGGTGAGGGCGGGGCCCGGGTGCGGCTGCAGCTCACATTCGCCCGTCACCTGCTAGCTTACCTCACTGGGGGGGGGGGGTGTCGGGGGGCAGGCATGCAGCTTTCAGCGTCTCCAAGCCCTGGGCGCTTCTGTGAGGGGCCGTGTCCACTTCTCCTGCACGACCGTCATGGGGCCCACCCAGCCTGTGGGTTCCGGCTGGTGCTCGGTGTCCAGTTTGTGGCAGGCTCACCTGCTCTCACTCTACCGCCAACGACCCCTCCGACCGCGGCTCTGCAGCCCTGGAGCCGCCGCCTGCAGGCGGCCCAGCGGCAGCGAGAACCCCGACTGGCCAGGGCGCGCACGGGTCCCCTTTCCCTTCTGGGGACCCGGCGAGGTGAGGGAAGCGCTTCGGCCGCGCACGTCCTAGTTAACCGCTGGGGCTTCTGGGAAGGCGGCTTCCTTGTGACGGAAGGAGGGGGTGTCGCGCGACCACTGCCACGGTGACAGCCTCCCGGGACCGGCCGCTGCGGACGCGAAGCTGCCCAGGGCGGGACCTGCCCGCTCCCGACACCGCGGTCGGCCTGAGAGGCGAACCTCCCTGCGCGTCCGGGCCGCGGGGCTCCGCGGGGACCCGGCCGCCCAGGCGCAGCTCGCTCGCGCCACCCCGCGGACGTCCGCCTCGAGCGCCGGGCCCTGCGGCGTCGGCACAGCCGTCCCGTGTCCGGGACGCCCGCAGCCTCTCCTTCCGCGTCACCGACGCCTGGCCGCGGCGACCGCGGGCGGCGGGCGCGCAGGTGTCCCGCGCGCAGGCGCAGCACGCGCTCCGCGAGGCGTGGCCCCTGCGGGCCCCCGTACGGCGGGCGGGTCTCCATGGCAACCGCGGGAGCGGCGGCCTCCATTGTTCGGCCGCGTCTCTCCGAGGTCGGCGCGCTGCCGCCTGTAGCTGAGCGAACGCCGCGGGCGAGGTGGGGGCCCCGGGCGGGCGGGCGGCGCGGGAAGGCGGTGCCGGTCCGGCTACTCCCGCCTCGGGGGAAGGGCGCCGCGCAGACTGCGCCCCCGGACCTGGAGCGCCCCACCCGGCCGGACGGGAAGCCGAGGCGGGGGCGCCGGCACCTGCTGCTCCGAGACCCCGCGAAGCCCCCCCCCTTTAGGTCCTGTCGCTTCGCTCCGGCTTCCCGACCTTTTCCGTTTGGAGATTTGGGGGCGATGGACGCGCCCTCCCCTCCCCCGCCGGCCCGGGGTTCCCAGAAAAGGACCCACCTGGGGAGGCCCAGGGCTCCCCCGGCTGCAGGCCGCCCGGGTCGCGCCTGTGGGTCGGTCCCCACGCCTTCGTTGCTTGACCTGCAGGCCGTTCTCAGCGGCCCTAAACCTCGCCCCCCGCGTCGCTGACGGGGGCGGGAAACCGGGGCGCCGGGCACCTGCGCGTGCGCGGAGGGGCCCTGGGCGCTGGGCGCCCGCCCCTCTCGGTTGTCCCTGCCGGATAAACGGCTGGGAGGCGACACGTGGAAGTGTCGCGGAGTGAGGTCTGGCTGAGCAGCGGTCCTCGGACGCTGTGTGGGGCGGAGGCGTTGCTGAACCGCGAGACTTCCGGGCTCCGCGCTCCCGGCCCCGTGCCGTCCCTGCGCCCCCGCGCCGCCGCCTGCGGGGTTCCTGGTGGGAGGCGCCCCGGGTGTGGAAACGAGACGCGGGGCCGCTGGGGAGTGCCCTCCCTTTTCGTGGAAGGAACGGGTTGGCTTACTGGCTCTGAACCGCTGTAATCTGTTTTCATCTCTAAAATAGCCATTCCTGCCCTGCATTTTCCAGGAGTTAACGTTACATCTCGGAACTCCAGGTACAGAGTCAGGAGCAGAACATTTAAATCTGAATCTTTTTCATTTTACACAAATTTAAAAGCCAAATTTATGATACGGTTTATTAAAAACGGTGGGTTTTTGTAAGAAAGCAAAATCATTGCACATCTGCTACGTAGCCACCCAGCCGCCTGTGAACATGTCAGGGTTCCTAATTGTTGCTGTGTCCCCTTCCTGTCCCCAGGTGACTGCAGACCAAGGAGGATGCGTGGTGGCCCTGGAGGCTTCCTCCTGGCTGACAGATGGAGGAAAACGGCACTGGGGCTGCTGAGCCCGAGCCCGAGCCCGGTGCAGGTCAGGCTAGGAGCACGCCTGCCTCCCCGGACACCCCCAGGAGTGTTGAGGGGGCCATCTTTGCTTCCTCACCGATTCTCGACTTGAGTCACAGTGGTCTTCACCATTTAGGGGAGGGCTTTAAAATCCCCACCCTGAAAGTAAGTAGGGCGTTTCTCAGGGTGCTGGGTAGACATAAACGAACAGTTCACCACCCCTTCCCCCCCTAGGGAATCTTCAGGAGAGGATTCTAGAAAGAGATAGAGGAGGGTTAACTCAGGGTTTCATGTGCTGCTCACAAGAAAAGAGAAATGCAGAGGTGGGGGCCCGCCGGTGGGGATACCTCGGAGAGCCAGGCTCCAATGTCCTCTGTCACCAAGCAACAGAAAGCTCGCAGCAGACACCCCTGCCGAAAACACCCTTGGTTTCTTATTTAAAACACAGCCCCTAGAAAAACCTGGCAACACTGAAACGGTTAAAAACTGTTTCTCACCCACGCTTTGCTGATGACCCAGCCGCTCGCATTGTGCCAGGTGATCCCTGCCTGCATGTAATCTAGCAGGTTTTGTCTCATGGCCTGTGATTTCTACAATAGAATAAGGTTCCATCAGAACACAGCTTTGAAGTGAGACAGCGAGGGTGCTCGCTGGGAGTGCTCTCTGCCCGGCGGTCACAGAACTTCCTTACACCTCATTTGTCTTCTTCTGGAAGACGGGAATGAGAATATTTTCATGGGTGGTTACAAGAAGTCAACGATACCGCATATAAACCACGCTGTCGCGACATGGCACACACGCGCTACGCGCCGCTAAGGCGCTGATGGGCATTTCTGAGGGCTTTTACAAAGTGGCTGCTTATTTACTAAAGCAGGAAGAGTAGCACCATGTTTTCTCTCTGGGGCTCCTTTTCTGGCATTTGTGTGTGTGTGTGTGGGGAGGGTTGGTCTGTGACTTCCAGACTGAGCACTAGAGCGAGCTTGCTCTGGGAGAAACGGGGAGGCTTGAGACGCTTAAAGCCCACACTGCAGTCAGAGGCCATTGGCGCCGCACATTGAGTGTCCGCACGCTGTGCGTCTGCGGCTGCCGGGTCACTTCCCAGGGACTGCCCCGACTTAGCTTATGGAAGGTTTAGTCTTCTGTGCACCTGGAACGGTGGTTTCCTCGTCAGCGTTTCTCAGGCCTCTGCTGGAACTCATGAAGGGGCTTGGAGGATGGCACTGGAGGTAGAGTTGGGACTTGAGAAGTCGTGACAGAAAAGGAGCTGCATGGTGGCACTTTTCTGCACTCAGTGGGTCTTTTTAATAGAAAAAGCAATGGTCACGATGGCTGATGCTTACCTGGCACTCCTGTGTCATTTAGCCCACCCTGGGAGGTGGGTCCTGCGACATCTTGCAAGTGAGAACACTGGAGCACAGAGAGGTTTGGGAACTTACTCAAAGTCACACAGCTAATAGGTTTGGAAACCTAGATTTGAACCCAAGAAGTCTGGCTTTCAGGCCAGTGCTCTTAACATCTGTACCATGCTGCCCCCCCGACCCCCCCAGTAAATAGAGATATATAAACATGAGTACATATAATATACAGAGGGTGCCAAAAAATTATACACATTTTAAGAAAGGAAAAAACTGAATATATGGTGATGGAAGGAGAATTGACTGGGTGGTGAGCACACAATGTGATATATAGATGATGTATTACAGAATTGTATACCTGAAACCTATGTAACTTTGCCAACAATTGTAACCCCAATAAACTTTAATTAAAAAAATAATAAGTTAAAAAACAAAAACTATTAATTTAATTATTTAATTGTAATTAATTAAAGTTAATACAGTACTGATAACAAAAGATGAATACAAGTGACATTTGACTTCTGCAATTACAAGAGGTGCTCAAAGTTGTTACCATCAGTGTCCAGACACTTCTGATTATGGCGAGCTACTGTTTGAGCATAGATAACATCTCTTAAAATGTATATTCATTTTTTTGGCACCCTTGGTATAAAGTAACGTGAGTATGTAGAACATACAGTAGCATGAAATTATTTCTAAAGTACCCACCACCCACCACACTGGCTGGCTGATGGTGCATGCGTGCGGTGTGTGTGTGTGAGTGTGTGTGGTGTGCATGCGTGTGTGGTGTGTGGTTGTGTATGTGTGCGTGCAGTGTGTGTGTGTGAGTGTGTGTGTACACTTCCCCATCAGGCTGTGCGTCCTGCCCTCACCCTCCCTCCCTGGTAGCTCCTTTAGATGGTGCCTCAGATGCCACTGAGTCGACGTCTCGAGTGTCCTGAAATGATGGTTGTGGGGTTATTCTCATGGGTGACGCCACAGCAGACCACTGAGTGCACATGTCTTTCAGTCATTTCCTTAGGGCGTGTCTGTCCCTGGGGCCAGACGTGGCTCTTGTATTGGGGAACACTGAGTGTGGGGCCCAGGAGGGGGAGAGCAATTAGAAACCCTCTGGGCATGAGTTTGGTGTGAAAGGGTATTTGTAGCAAAGCGTGTGGGGCTCACAGTGGCACCCGAGCTGGCAGCCTGCAGGGAGGCCACATCTCCAGGTCCGAAAGTTGCTCAGCTGCCCAGGAGCCTGGCGCTTTCCTTGCTACTTGAGGGTAAAATCTAGTGGTTTTCCTCTTGATGGTCTGATTGCGACGGCTGGTTGCACTTTTGGAAATGCGTTTAGGATGTCCAAGCTTTAAATTTAGTTGATTGACAAAACAGTCTTTCTTCTTCCTGGAAGCAACTGCACCTTCAGAGAAATGCGCTCTGCTCCATTCCTGAGGACTTCTTCCACTGGCTGCCAAACCTCAGGTGGCTAGACCTCCGGCACAACAGAATCAGAGCGCTTCCTTCCGGGATTGGCTGTCACAGGTAAGTCGTGAACCCACACGTTCTGGCTCCAGGACACTCACCTGTGAATGTGTGAGCGCCTGTTCTCTTGCTGCTGTGCTCCTTCTCTTGACGGCATTGTGACCTCAGGACAGAAGCTTCTGGGGGCATTTCAAAAGCCAGCCAAGAGATGCAATGGCTGAGCATGCAAACGCACATGGCTGTTTAGTCCCATATGTCGGTACCTTGGGACAAGTTAGCACCACAGACTGTGCAGGGACCACAGCGCCTCTGCTGGGCCTTACCGCGCGGGTTTCCAGCGTCTGGTTCTGGCTCTGACTCATCGCGACGCTGAAGGATTACTGCCAGCCACTGTGCCCCGGGCCCTTGTGGATCTGTGCTGGTTCCTGGTGAATGATGAGAAATGTGTAAATATCAGTGTATTTTAGAGATGGCCGTTTGATTTTCTGCTTTCTAAGTGATATATCTTCTGTTTTGTTTTAAAGGTATTTGAAAACTTTGCTTTTAGAAAGAAATCCTATCAAAAAGTTACCTGTGGAGCTGGGTAAGTGTTAGCCAGTAAGGTCAAAGGTGGTTTAAAATGTGGTCTTCTGAAGTTCCTAGAACCTGCAGTGGAAATACCTGCCGAGGGGCAGCACTCTCCCTCCACTCTGTCCTCAGGCTCTCGAGCTGTTGGTGCTTTAACGTGTGTTCCGCATACAAAGCGACACCTAAGATTGGTGTAAGAAGTGACAGAAACAGAGCCCCCCCCCACCCGGCCCCAGTGCGCATCCTAAGAGAATTAGCTTCACTGTCCTGGGGACCCCTCCTCCCCTGCACGAAGGTCCCCGAGTGCTTCTCCACTTGCCATCGCTGACGGCAGGCATGTAAAGGGCTCCTTTCCAGCCTGTAGGTTGGAGGACGCCATGTGTGGCATTGGTGACCTGCGTCTCGGCTCAGCACCGTTCTGAGGCCCGTCCGTGTGGACAGGCATCGCCGTGGCATGTTCGGACCTGCCTTTCCCTGCCATAGACGTCATGACGAGGACGACGAGGACGAGTTGCTGTCACCATCTGTTTTGTTTGCGAGCTCTCCTCTTTTGTTATCTTTATTTTCTTCGCGGTTGGCTTGCTCTCCTTTTTCTGACTTGCTGAGTTGCAGATTAGATCCGACTTCAGACTTTTCTTTCCTGACCTGTGACGCTCCGGCTGTGTTCTCCCTCTGAGCGCTGCCTGGGCGGACATGATGTCACCACCACCCAGCTCAGTGTTTTCTAATGCAGCGACCGTGGTCCCTTGGGAAGTGCCGCTCAGTTCACAAGCTGGGACACATTCTCATTCCTCACTGTCACTGTGGCCACACCCCACGTACCGTGTCAGGTGGGTGGTGTGGATGGAACGGGGCGCTGAGGTCTGCTCTGTCTGATCTGTGTGGCCTTGTGCACAGAGAAGGGCGAACCCTCCAGTGGTCGTGATGTGATGTGCATCAGGTATGTCAGGCTGTCACTCAGCGCCCAGGTAGCCACATCCTCGATCGCTTGGCCATTTACTTCATCAGGGCCTGAGGGAGTGTGCACAAGTATTCCGGGACTCTGGTGACGCCTGCCTTTCAGACCTGGCCACTTCTGCTCTATGTATTTTGATACAATGTTATTGGTTGAATCAAAATTTATAGAGTTTTATATTTTCTTGTTATTTTGTTGCTCTGGCTGGTGTGGGTTGCCATGTGTTCCTCTGATGGCCGTGGTTCGTGTGGCCACTCCAACCTCCTGCTTCCTGTTGGCATGGCGTGTGACTTCATTCTTTTACTTTCAGCCTCTCAGGCTGTAACTGCGTCTATTTGCCAGTATGTAGGATGTAGCTGGATCTCACTCTTACCCCATCAGACAATCTCTGCCTTTTAGTTACATTGTTTCATTCATTACACTTAATGCCCTTACTGACATGAGTGGACTTGGTCTGTTATTTTAGTTTGTTTTCTGTTTACCTCATTTGTTTTTGTCTGTTTCTGCTTCCCGGTTAACTGTGTATTGATTGGAAACTATTTATACTTCCATGTAAACTTTTTTTTTTACTTTCTGGCTATTCCTTTTACGTTCCTTGAATGGTTTGATGGTTGCTCTCGATTACATATACATCCTTCCAGCTAGCGCTGGCCCGTGTCCCAGAAAATGGTGTCGTCCTGTAGCCACACAGCTCCACTCGCTGCACCTGGTCCTGTGTGGGATTGTCCTGTGTGTCATCTCTACACACGGTAAACCCCACAGTTCAGTGTTATGGTTTTTGCTTTAAGCTGTCACATATATTTTAAATAAATTAAGAGAAAAACATCTGTTGCATTTACACGTTGTTTAGCCTCTCTGTTGCGCTCTGCTGTTTACTAAGACCCAGTTTCTGTTTGGCATCTTTGTCCTTCAGTCTGAAGAACTTCCCTCCAGGTTTCCTTACATCAGTCTGGCGGCAAAGAATCCTTTTGATTTTTCTTAAAATATCTTTTTTTCTGCAATTTTAAAATGATATTCCTGATACAGAAATATGGGTTGCATTTTTTTTCATTCTGTACTTTCAAGGTGTCCCACTGTCCTCAGGCCTCTGCGTCCGGTCCCTCAGCTGTTCTCATCTACGAGCTCGGCTGGCTGCCTTTGATCACTTGCAAGATTTCTCTGTATCGTTGCTTTTCGGCAGCTCGGCTATGATACACCCAGGTGTGGTTTTCTTTGTATTTACCCTGCTTGGAATTTGTTGAGTTTATTCTTTTTTTTTTTTTTTAAGATTTTTATTGGGGAATTGGGGGGATGGGAACAGCGCTGGGGAATTGGGGGATGGGGAACAGACAAGTTGCTGTCCTTTTGTTCTTCAGTCTAGTTGTGGAGGACGTTGCTTCACTGGCCCAAGTTGGCACCGTCATTGCACTCTTCCTGGGCGAGACAGATCAGTCGTCGGCTTCTGGACGGCAGCTCACGCTGGCTACCGGCTACACACGGTAGCCCATGGCAACCCACTGCCACAGGGGTGCTGTCTACGCTGTCACCCGCGACTCACAGCAGCCCAGCTCCAGGTGGAGCTGTTGTTCAGCATCTTAGCTGTGGAGGGCAGTGTCACTGGCCCTCATATGTGGGATCCGAACCGGGGCCCTCTGGTGTCCCAAGCCAGCTCTTAACCATCACGCCACTCGGCCGGCCCGAGTTTATTCAATTTTTAAATTCACATCTTTTGCCTAATTTGGGAAATATTTTGGTTGTTATTCTTCAAATATTTTAATGCTCCTCTTCTCCCTTTTTATGTATATGTTAGACCTTTTGTTATTGTCCCACTGATCACTGAGCTTCTGTACATTAAAAAAAATCATTTTTCTGTTCTTCAGAGAAGATAGATTAATATCTATGAGTTTATGAGTCTTTTTTCCTTATTTCCAACTATCTGAAAAATCATCTAGTAAATTTTTTTTCAGATATTGTTTCATCCTAAATTTTTAATATTTATAAAAATAGTTTCTGTTTTTCCTCTCAGAGTTTTTATTTTTATTTTTTAATTTGGTACAAACATGTTTGCCTTCATATATTAAGTATAATAGCTGCTTGTATTAGTTTGCTCAGGCGGCCATAACAAGCTACCATAGACGGGTGGTTTAAACCACGGAGTTCATTTTCTCCCAGTGTGGAGGCTGGACGTCCGAGGTCAGAGTCTCAGAGCTGGCTTCTCCTGAGGCCCCGCTCCCTGCTTACGGCCACCGTCTTGCCGTCCTCACATGGCCTTTCCTCCGTGTGTGCATCCCTTGTGCCTCCTCCTCCTCTTGTTCTAAGGACACTGTTCAGACCAATCAGGGCCCATCCTGATGACTCATTTTACCTTAGTCACTCCTTTAAAAACCCTATCTCTAAATACAGTCACATTTGGGGATACTGAAAGTTAGGGCGTCCACATAGGAACCTGAAGGACACAATTCAACCCGTGACACTATAAAATTCTTGTCTGCTATTCTGGGTGATCCCAGGGTCACTCTCCATTGCTGGGCTTTTTTCCAAATACGGGGACTGTTTTCCTGTTTCTTCCTATGTCCAGTAAGTTTGGATTGTATCCTGGGTGTTGAGTTCTGTTACACTCATCTACAGGGCACTGATTTTTTTTAAAGTAGGGAGGTAAGCTGACGGGGCCGAGACCCCAGACTCACTCTCTCCTGGTGGACGAGGTCCCCATGGGGTTGTTGGCCGTGCCGTTTGCAGTCTGTCCCGTGATGTGAGTGAAGCTCAGCACTGCCAGAGACCCGCGTGCAGAATCTACGTGCAGAGCTGTAGCCGGGCAGTCCCCCTCTTTCCAGAACATTCCCCTCACTGTGGAGCTGCTGGGGCAGCTCTGAAGACTGTCTTCTGGCCCAAAGTCACCAGGATGGTCCAGTGTGCCCCTGTTCTCGCTGCCATGTGCCTGTGTGGTGCTCCCCACCTTCCCTCAGGCAGCACCCCCCCACACGTGCTGTCAGCCTTCCTGAAGCCGCCGTCCTGCCCTCCAGCCCCGTCTGCTCTCTCTGCTCTCCTGCCTGCAGGTGGTTTGTTTTTTTACCCAGTTTCTAGTTTTCTACTGCAGTTAGTTGGTCTCACTGGAGCTGTTCCAACATTACCGGAAGCCGAGCCCCTCACTGTAGGTTCGCAGTGGTTTGGGGTGGTTATCTAGACCCTGCGCTGTGTATCCTTGACTCAGGCCCGGCCACGGAAGTGGCCACCGTTACTGCTTCCCAGAGAGCCATGGGAATTAATGCTCAGCGCCGGTACCGCCTCTGTCCTTTGTGTTGCTGTGTTCACAGATTCTGCTTTCCACGTGTTGTAAATCCAGCAGCCGCTTTTTACAGTGTCAGCACTTACCAATGGTCCCCACATACTCACCCCGCCTCTGGCAACGTTTCCTGAAGCTCTGCTTCCATCTGCGTGGCCGTCTCAGCTGGAAGATCACTCTTCAGTGTTATCGTTTAACCTGCTGATAATGAATTATTCAGTTTTGGTTTCTAAATTCGTCTTTATTGGTCCCATCATTTGTGAAGGACATTTTGGCTGAGTAGAGGAATCTAGATTTTAGGGATTTTTCACTTAAAAAAAAACAGTCTTTATCGTCTGGCTCCTATCATCTGGTGAGAAATCAGCTGCTAGTTTTATTGTTTTTCTTTAAAATTAATATATTGGGTTGTTGGGAAAGTCATGATGTATTTTTTTCTGTTTTTCACTGCAAAAATACGTCATGACTTTTCCAACAACACAATACCTTCTTTCCTCTGGCTGCTTTAAAATTTTTCTTTCTGCGTTTAATTTTCAGCAATTTGTGATGTGCCCGGGAGTTTCTTCTCTGTGTTTGCTCTCTTTGGGGTTCACTGAGCTTCTTGGATCTGTTTAGTGATGTCTTTAATCAGATTTGGAAAATTTCTGGTTATTGTTGCTGTTCCCTTTTACGTCACGAGTTGTTTTTCTCTTGCTGTTTCTAGGATCATTTCTTTGTCAGTTGTTTGTGATGTTTCTAAGTGTGAATCCCTTTGGCAGATACGAGTTGGTGTTCGTTAAGCTTCTTAGATGTATAGATCAATGTTTATCATCAAACGGGGGATATTTTCGGCCATGGTTTCCCCAAATGTTTTTTCTCCTCCTTTGTTTTGCTCCTTCTGTGACTCGTGCACGTGAGCACGTGTTAGACGCCTGATGTTGTTCTGTGGTCTCTGAGTTCTGCTGTTGTTTTAGACTTTTTCTCTCTGACGTCAGATTGGATACTTTTTATTTCTCCATCTTCAAGTTGACGATTGTTTCTTTGGGCGTCTTGTGTCTGCTGTGGAATCTCTCTAGTGAATTTTTCATTTCAGTCTTTGTAATTTTCAACTCTAGAACTACTATTTGGTTTTTTAATGATTTCTATTTTACTGACATTCTGTATTTGTTGAGTCATTTTAGTATATTTTCCTTTATTTATTTTTCATTTCTTTGAACATGTTTATAACAACTGCTTTGAATTTTGGTCTGCCAAATCCAACATCTGGGCCTTCTGAGGGACAGTTTCTATTGGCTGTTTCCTGAGTACAGGTCACATTTTACTTTTCTTTGCATACCTTGTAGTTTTTTGTTGTTGAAAATAGGCATTTTAAGTAATATAGCAATTTTATATTGTGATTTTTACCTGAGGGCTGTTGTTGCTGCTTTATTTTATTTTTGACATTATTTTGTAATGAGCCTGGTCTTAATCTGTGGAATCTGTCTCCCCTGCAGAAAGTTTTCTTTTTGAAAGCAAATCTCAGGCGTCTTGTCATATCATTTTACCTAAAATTCCCAATAAGGTGTTTTTCCTAATGTGCACACAGTGTCACTTTCTCCTTGTTTTCATCGTGTAAGTGCTGACGAGTTTCCTTCTCCCTCAGGGAACGTGACAACACTGACAGCGCTGAACCTGCGATGCTGCCCCCTGGAATTCCCGCCTCAGCTCATCGTGCAGAAAGGACTGGTCGCAATCCTGGCCTTCCTGCAGGCCTACGCCGCAGAGCACCCCTGCCCCTGGGACTTGGCTTCTCGAGGTGTGTGTGAGACAGTCATGATGACAAACTGCCTTAAAGCTGCAGTCAGTGCTTTTTAAGGTCTGGCTCAGGAGCCTGTGGGAGCCTCTCACATCCTCGCCAGACTCACAGCACCTGGTCACATGCAGGTCCGTGCTGACCAGTGGGTGGTTCACATGCAGGTCCGTGCTGACCAGCGGAGCTTGGTTGCGCCCTTTGTGCCCCGTATGCAGGTCTGTGTGGGGTGGGTGCGGGTCCAAGGTCACTGGGATGAATCAAATGAAACAGCCTTTGCCCCCAACACCTCGGGTGCCTGTTCCAGGAATTACTTGGTCCATTAGACAACTACTGTCCGTTTTGTAATTTTTCCTTAAAAACACTAACCCCAAGTATGTATCAGCCTGATATGTAGCAGTGGGAGCATGTTGTCCTGTGTATGCGCATGCCATGTTCTGTGTAGCTCCAGTGTGTGTCACGCGTGGCTGCCCGTGGGTCCCGCTGGGGACCCAGGTCCCGGTCGTGGGGGCACGCGCAGATGTGCAGTCATAATAGCTCTGGACATCAAAGCGTTTACATGTTTCGTATTCTGAGTTCTCCTGGACATTGTGTTTACAGAGAGGATTTTACTTAAGAAAATTACAAACCACTGATAGTGAAGTGTATTTTTTAATTTAATATCTTAATGTGTAATTAACATTTAAGATTATCAGTGTTCTTATTATCTTTCAATCCCATCACAGTTTTTGTTTTTTTACATTGAAGGCTGTGTCTGTGTAAATAGACATATGTAATCAACTAGGAATAAAAGGCAGAAAATAGCTAAATAAATTAGGCTCGAGAGGCTAAAAATGAGTTGTGTTTACAGGGAGGTAACTACAGTTGTCAGAGCTGTTTAAAATGTGTCTAAGGACTTAAGAGTGGGTGAGTGTAGACATGCACGAAGGAGGCGGTGTTCGGGGCTGGGTGGGCACGCCCCCCCGTGTGCCCCGCTGGCAGCGTCAGGAGCCAGGCAACACCTGTGCGGGACCCCGTGGCTCCAGTGCCTGACATGGGGTCTGGGGCAAAACTGGATGAATACATTTTGGGCCAATTTTCTCTCAAATAATTTACCTAGAGCTACAGATAAAAGTGTTTGAAAGTCAAAAAAAGCATTGCCAAGCCAAAGCAACAGGCATATGTGCTAAATATGAATTAGAACTAAAGATACGAAAGGCCAGGGAGGAGGCAGAGAAGTGTTTTTATCTGTGTGGATTTACATGGGCATCGAAGGCCTGGGGCAGAGGGACCGGGACCCTGTGTCTGTTTGCGTCCCAGGGCCAGTGTGGAGGTCCAGACCATTGAAGCTGCATTTAATCCCACTAGCGATTTCATCTGTGAAAAAGATGACCCTAAGTCAGCGACCGCATCCCCCGTTGGACTTACCTGAAGAACATGCACCTAACAGAGAAGCCATGACTTCTCAGGAGCCAAAGGGGACCAGGTTAAAAAAAAAGGTGGGCTCGTGCCTGCCTGTTGAAAAACTGGATCTGAGTGACCTCAGAAGGTCCACTGGATCCTCGGAAGACTGGCCGAGTGAGCAGGAGATCAGGCGCTTCTGGAAGCTGAGGCAGGAGATTGTCGAGCGGGAGCGAGCGGAAACCCTTGCCTGCAGCCTGCTGCCCGAGCAGTTACCGCCAAACCTCAGCGCGGTGCTGCGTGCCCAGGACAAGGGGCACCCCGGCCACAGACACGTCTCCGGAACGACCCAGAAGCCAAGGTCTGTTTTCTCGGTCTTTGCCAAGTTGAAACACTGCTTTGTAATTTTCTCTTAAAATGTCAGGGAGATGTGCATCTGCCCGTGTTGCCATCATGGATGAGGCCGTGGTCCCGACCTGGCTCAGGCTTGTCACAGCCTCGGTCCGCAGGGCCCCCATTTCAGGGCAGGGTGCCTAAGCCTACTGCCGAGGAGCCCCTCCCTCCATTTACTAATTGTTATGAGCACAATGACACTTGACCACATAAACGGGCCACCTGCTCAGAGTGCTGCAGCCTCATCCAGCCCTTTGGATGTGGACGCCCCCCTGCAGCCCTTGGAGGTTACCGGGCGGGCTGGGGTGGGAGGTGGCGGCTGGCGCTGTCTGCACCATCACAGCATCTGGCCCACAAGCCCGGCCTGCACGTTCAAAGTGCTTGCTCTCTGACCTGTGTCCTCCAGGTGTGAGCGTTCTTCACAGGGTGGTGTTAGGTATTCGGCTAAAATCTTGTGTCGTTATAGAAGGAAGCCACCCTCCTTCGGGGGCGCCCTGCCTGGCCTGGCGTCGGTGCACCCGACGGTGATAGGCGCGCGGAGGCTGGAGCAGGACCGGGCCTCAGCCCTCCGAGAGCTCAGGGAGAAGCAGGCACTGATGGAGCAGTGGAGAAGGTGAGGCCCGAGGCTCAGACGCAAGGCGGGGCCAGGGTCGGCACCTGCCTGGCTTCCCGGGGAAAGGCTCTGTTTCTGCTTCCTCGGGGAGCTCTAGTGCCGCTGCTTAAGGGTGTGAGACCACACTGACCGGTGTGGGTACGGCCGCGGACAGCCGTTCCGTCACATCTCACCCAGCCTCACCTGCCATCTTTCTTATACTTCCCTGATTTCCTGCCCTTCCTTAACCGGCCCTCCTATCCTGTCACTCACCTGCCTGACGGGTCTTTTCCAAGCAGTTATTTTAAAACAACACGGTCCTCAATAAAGCTCACCCTGGCCGCTGCCTTGTCGGCTTCCATCCTCACTGTCCCCTGTGTCCTGCAGCTCTGCTGACCGCCCGTCTCCCCTGTGCTCTGGGCCAGGGATCACACCCACAGTGCTCTGGGGCCCTGCACCTTCTGGTTGGATTTGGCCCGTGGGGGGCCCAGCAGGGCCCGGGCGTGGGGGTGGGCAGCCCCCCGGTGAGTGCTGCCTGGAGCTGGCCCGTCCTTCACAGCGGCCAGCTCCATGCTTCACTCTCCTTCGTCTGGACCAGGGCGTCGGCCCCGCTGTCCCCGTCAGGACCCTGCCCTGGGCCTGCCTGCCCCTCCCTGGGAGTGGCCCCTTTGTGAAGCCATCCGTGTGGGGGTCCTCCCTGGGGCCTGACCGTTGGAATGTCCACATGCTCAGTTCTGACCCGACCGCACTGTCTTCTTGGCAGCAGGCCTGCTTGCTAGTCAGTTTCTTTCCCTCCCGTGAAAGGGTGGGTGAGGTCGGGCCCTCAGAACTGGTCAGCACACAGGATGTCCCGGGACTGTCATCCTGATGGCAGGGCTGTGGCCAGGATGGCGGACAGCCAAGCTGAGACTCGGGGGTGTGGCCTGGGCTGCTCCGGGGGTCACACTGGTCCTCAGCCATAGCTGTCGACAGTGCCCCCCCAGTCCCCTCAAAGTGTCCCTCAGCTGGAGTCCAGGCTGCAGGGTAGGGGAGGGTCCAGGTGTGGGCCGAGCCCAGGTGGCTTGTCAGGGTGGTGCTGCAGAGCAGGGCATGTCCCTGTCCCAGCAAGAGGAGCCTCCTGGAGCCAGTGTGTCAGCTGCTCCCCACTGTACTGCCCCCACTGTGCCCTGCACCCCACTCCTCCCATTACATCTCACCGAGGGGCAGTGGACACTAAGGAGCAGGTCCCTGGTCTGGGAGAGTGGCACATGAGGTCACAAAGTTACAACCCCACACGAGGAGTGCTGGGTGGAGGGGAACTGAGGAGCTGGAATCACCCGGGTGGCAGCCTCGTAGGCAGGGGGGGCCTCTGCAGAGGTGTGGAGAGGGTGTCCGGCCCTCTGGGACCTGTGATAGCAAAGCGTGGTGGCAGTGGGAACACCAGCACCCTGTCCCCAGGTCGGAGCCTGGGGAGGATGCAGCCAGGCCCCACCGGCGCCCAAATCCCACCACAGCTCGGAGCACAGGCACAAGCCCTTGGTAGGGCCCCAGAGGGCCCGGTGACAGTGACCCTGAGGGTGGAAGAGCCCACAGTGCAGGCGGGCGGGAGAGGCAGGGGCTGTGAGCTGAGAGGGGAGGTGAGAGGGCCAGACTTGGGGGCTCCGTGTGGAGGGGTGCTGGCCACAGGAGTCTGTGGAACGCCCAGGAATTGGCTCAAACTTGCAGATGGAGACTGGGGCTGGGCGAGGACTCCTGGGGACCCCACCCCCTCTCCATAGCCATGACCACAGCCAGCCAGGGGCTGGGTTTTCTGTTCAGTTCAGAGATTCCACAGGTGTCGTGGCGCCACAGCCCCACCTCTTAGCCGTGGGCAGCGAGCCCCTGGGGTGGTACTGTGGGGACTTCACTGTGTAGCGGGCGAGACTGTGCCGACAAGGAGCCCCTCCTGCCACAGCGTGGTGGCAGCGTGGCCGTGCCACAGGTGAGGACTCTTTGGAAGGACCTGATGTCACCTGTTAAGGGACGCTGCCCTGTCAGTGGCGCCCTCCCATCCAGTGGAGACCGCTGAGTGCATGAAGGCCTTGGAGCTCACGCCCAGCCGCCCCGCCCGGGCTTGCCCCGCCCCGCCTGGGCTTGGCTCCGCCCCGACGGCCCTGGCTCCGCCCCGCCTGGGCTTGGCTCCGCCCCACCGCGTTTCAGGACACCCAGAATGCTGTGCGTGCCCGGCCAGGCTCCGCCGTCTGCGCCTTGAGCAGAAGTGAAGGGATGTCGTGTGAAGCTTGAACTCTGGCAGCGGACATCCTTGTGAGCTTTGCTTTCAGCTGCTTGTAATGTGACGCTGACGTGACACATTTTGTCCAGAGACAGGAGGGCGCTGCAGGAGTGGAGAGAGCGGGCCCAGACCATGAGGAGGAGGGCGGAGGAGCTCAGCGGAGGCCCGCGCGCACGCAGGACGCTGGTACGGAGCGCGGGCGGGCGGGCTCGTGACAGTGATGCCGGCCGCTCGCGCGCTGCTCAGCCCTGGGGCGCAGGGGAGGCTGCAGTGTCCGCTTCACACACGAGGACCTGGGGGCCACAGGCCTCCGCTCAGGGAAGCCGCCGGGAGGTGCGGGGGCCGCAGGCGTCCTTCCGGGTCTCCTCGCCCTCGGTTCTCTCAGCTCTGAGGTCAGTCACCTGGGACACCAAGGAAGCGGTGTTTCCGCGGCGCTGTCCCTAAGGACGGGGCCACCAGCTCCCGCGTGTGGCACCTGGCACCCTAAAGGCCATACTGGTCTCCCCCTTTTCTCTCCCAAACCACTTGGGGTCCAGGCCCGCATGGGCCCGGGTGACCGCAGGCCTGGCATCTGGCCGCCCCCCCCCCCCCCCCCCCCCCCGTGCCGGCTTTTCCCGTGAGCACCAGGCTTGGAACTCGATTACGATGTGTCCTCAGTTACTTCTTTTAAGACGTGTTCCCTGCGTGTGACCCCGCAAGGCCAGGGGCTGCCTCTGCGCCGCCCCACCCCCATCTGGGGGACGGTGCCCTGAGCCGCGGCCACCTCGCGGCCGGGCGGCCTGCTGTGACGTCCCCGCGTCTCTTTCCATTTTCGCTGTATAGTGAACCGACTTTGACTTGCAGAAACGTTGCGAAGACGGTAGCGCCCCGTGTGCCCCGCCCCAGCGGCCCTGACGCTCACACCCCAACCCCACAGCCTCGCTCGGCCAGAGCTGACGGCGGGACAGCGCTGGTAACGAGGAAAAGCACGCGCGCCAGGCCGCCCGCGGACGCCCTGCTCAGCTTTAGGGCCACGTCTGGGTTTCCTGGGCGGCCAGCCGTGCGGGGGTCTCAGCCTTTGGGGCAGGAATCCTGCAGAGTGGCGTCCTGTCCCTCACCAGCACTTCTCAGGCCGCGGTGTTGGTCCCCACGGCCCCTCCCGAGGCCGCTGTCGCCCTTTGTGATGGAGGCCCTCCTGGGGGAGACCGGACACTGCAGGTGCTGCTGCCGCCGCGCTGGCCACCAGTCCCCGCGTCCCTCGCGACCCTCGCCTGCAGCAGGGGGCCCGGACGGCTTTCCACCAGGGACCTTTGTTCCTGAATTCTTCCACCACCTAGCGCTTCCCACGCTGCGAAACAATGGTTTGTTAACCTCAGGAAAAAAGGCAGTGGAACCTTTTTTCCTAGTGGGATGTCACAGTAGAAGCCCAAGTTTACAGAATTGGAACCTTTCCGGCTCGGGTCCTGGGCCCTGCCCACTGGCACAGGTCACCGCCATGGCCCTGCCCAGCCACCCGGTCCTCAGAGCCCCGGGCCAGCTGGTGCGTGGGACCGTGGCCCCAGCGGTGGCTTGCGCTCCTGCCTTAAACAGGATGTGTTTGCTCATGGCCTGCATGCCTCGCACTAAAGACCCTTGTCTCAGGAGGTGGAAGGATTTGGTCCCTTGGAGCCATTCTAGACCCTAAAACACACGTCTCTGTGAGCTTTTAGTGCTCTGTCACTATTAGGACGGCATCCGAGCCACCGCAGGTACCGTCTGACCTGGGGACCTGGTGGTGTCAGCCCGTGAGGCTGCCCTCTAACCACGCGCTGCAGCGTTGGGGGTGCATTTTATGATCTTCATTTATTGCCAGTATACATTGTCATGCCCACTATCGTCTTTATTCTAACCTCCCGTTTCCCTACATAAGTAAAAATTAAAAATACATAATTGTATCACTTCCAGTTAAAAACACAAGTTTCCTTGAAGTCTTCTATCAGTCCATCTTATAGAGACAAAAACAATTAGAGTAAAAGCATGTACGTACAAACACGCACACAGCCATACAGTCAACGCCAGACCACACCTGTGATGGTGGCCCTGGTCCGTCGCCCAGGCCTGTCCAGGTTGCACACAGCAGGGAGCGCAAGCTCCCACCTCTGGCCCTGGAGGCAGCAGCTCGGGGCACGGCAGGCGGGAGGCGGCTGGGTGCAGGGTGGCAGGTGCACAGGGGCCAGCACAGGTCTGAATGAGCCTGACCAGGTGTCACCAGGTGCCCAAGCACAGCAGGGAGAACACGGTGGGCCAGTGATTAGAGGGAGACAGCAGGGTACCCCCTAGCCACAGTCCTGTCAGAGGCCCCCCCCGGCTGTGCAGGCCCACGTGCAAAGGAGCATTTAGGAAACTCGTCTGGCGTGGGTGCCCACAGTCGGGGGGAGGTCAGGTCTTAAGGCAGAAGAGCTCCAAGCAGACATGTAGTGTGTGTGTCACTGCGCTGACAGATTTTCCAGTGGGTGTCACGGTGGCTTGCAGGAGCCTCTGAGCCCCGTCCCCCAGCCAGGGGGTGGGAGTTGGCGAGGCTCAGGCGGCACCGCTCTCTGCACAGCAGTTTGTCGACCTGCTCGCAGACGCAGAGCAAGCCCGGGTGGGCAGATGGGCTGTGCTCACAGCAGTGTCGTCTTGGGTTCCTGAAAACATCTTGTTACGTTTTCCTAGGTGGCATCCAAGATTCCCTACGCCACAGATCTGATTGATGATGAGAAAATACCAACAAACCCATCTGGAAACCCTAGACAAAGCAAAGAGAAGTCACTGCCAGCAAGTAAAGGGCTGAGGTGAGTTGCTGGCTGTGCCGTGCTCTGCTCCCAGCCCCCCACCCCCACCCCCACGGTGGTGCCTTGGGTCAGCATTTACCCAGCGCGCCCTAAGGTCCCAGTGTGTGGGGCTCAGACAAAGAACGGAGAGAGGGAAAGCCACAGTCCTGTCCCCAGGAGCTGCTCTAGCCACCCCCGTCGACTTGTCACCCCCACTGTGTCCACTCGGCCCCCAGAGGCCCTTTCCCACGGGAAACAGCAGCTGCTCTGAGTCCCAGCACGGCTCTAGATTTCCCGCATTCTCAGCCCCGATGCTGACCTAGGGTCCGCGTCCTGGGAGTGACCACTGGGCTCCCTCGTCCTTCCCCGGCGGCTCTGAGGCCATTGGGTACAGAGCAGCCTACAAAAGACCTCCTTGTGTGTGTGCGTTTTCCCAAGAAACTTCACACTCCCGGATCCCCACTCTGTACCCCACACACCTGCCAGGCACGTTGGGAAGCCGGGGCCCAGGGCCTGACTGCAGGAAGGCCCGAGGCCTCAGCTCTGCCCTCCGCGCCCGGCCTGCTGCGCTGGCTGCCCCTCCTGACCGCACCAGGCTCGGCCAGAAGCCAGAGCCTAAGCCAAGTGCGAGGCGTGGGTGCGAGGCCCAGCCCACGGCTGTGTTTTAGTGGCTCTGGAGGCCAAGGGAGGGTTAAGAAGGCTGGAGGAAAGTGGTCATGGTACGACACGCGGGTGGCCAAGGGTTCCTTTCCAGGGGACCATGATTCCTCCACACCCAGGCGCTCGTGGGAACCTCATGGGCCCGCGGATCGGATGAGCCCCGGCCACGTGGGAATGGTTTAGACAACAGTCAACAGCGCTCGCGCATCGTCACCCTCGTGGGCCCTTAGAAAACACATGGCTGACCACGCCTGGGCTGGACACCCACCGCCCCGTGGGCACGATTTGACTAAGAACCAGTGTCTGAGACATAGCGCTGGGGTCTGGGTTCGGCAGTCTCAGAGGCTGCTGTGCTGTCTTTTGAACAATTATTCATAAAAGTAAACAGAACAGACACAAACCCTGCTGCTGGGTGGGGTGTGATCTTCAGGGAGCCCCGGAGCCGGACGCACTGACGTGGCCTCGGGCCTCTTGCCACCATTGCCATTCGGACTTGGTGTCGTTGTATTTAATTGAAGGATCTGAGCCCAAAGCCTGCTGCTGAGAGCAGGTGGTGCAGATCCTTACTGAACACAATCTCTGTTCCTCAGAGGGTTTATTAAACTGTGCGTCTGACATGAAAACCAAGACACAGCCCTCCCTTCATGTGTCTTGATGTGCAGTGTCCTAAACATGTGATGTCTCAGGTGGATTTGAAGTTTCTAAAACATAGTGTGTGTTCCAGCAGCTTTTGCCAAGAAGAAGGTTGGGTGAGGCAGCCCAGGTCGTCGGTGAGCTGGCGCCTGGAGGGGAGGGGCAGGTGGCCACAGTGTCACCACGTCCTGACATGTACGAGCCCAGGGTGACAGTTTGGCCTGGAGGGAAAACGGGAGGTTCTTTCTCTCCTGTTGTATAGAAATTGCTAAGACTAGACTCAACCGTAACATCGTTCTGGTGGCCCTCTGTTTTCTCAGGGCCGTTCAAGGGGCTTTAGAAGAAAAGCTAAAACAGCACATACAGCAAATGCACGAACAAAGGAAAAGATTCCGAGGGGTGGCACCACTCGAGGAAATAAGGAAAACCGCACGGGATCTGGAAATTGTAAGTATCTGTCGGCTCTATTTAAAATAAAATTGCTTTATTAAACATCGAAGGGAACGTGCTGTGCCTCTTCAAAGCACGTGTTCTGAACAGCGGGGAGGCGTTTAACGTGGAGGGTGCTCCCAGAACAATGGTTGGTCAGAGGCTAAGGAAAAGTTTCTGCCGCGTGGGAGCCCTCGGAGGCACAGTGTGCCCTGACGGGACGTGTCCGTGGGGTCCTCCCGCTACACTTCGTGCCAGCAGAGCCTGGCAGGGCTGAGAGGGTGCCGCTCAAGATGCCGTGGCTGGCGCCCCAGTGTGTGTGGTAGGAAGGGTCCCACCTCCTCGCCCAGACACAGGCAGCGTGCATCGTCCCACAGACGCTGATGAGCACCGCTTGTGTGGCTGGAAGTGTCCTGGATCACACACAGGAGCAAGGGAGTACTTCCTGCCCCAAGTGATGTCCAGCCGGCCTGCCCAGCCCATCACAGGCCCCACCGCCCTCCCTGAGAGCGACCAGGCCTCGGCGACTTCTGGATGCTGGCGCCGAGGCCCGTGCGCCCTCGCTTCTCTGTACAATCTTACATTCTCTGGGACTCCGGGGACGGGCGTGACACCCACGAGCAGGCCGATAGAGCTTGTGCCCAGGTTGCCAGCCAGGGCCAGCACAGAAAAAGGACTTGAAACTTCACTCCCTGTGCCGCCCTTCACTGGAAGCTTCTACAGAGTGCATTCTCCCAGACAAGGGAGTGGATGGACAGAGGAAGAGCCTGTCCAGGACAGGCAGCCCCGGCTGTGCTCTGTGCAGGCGCCAGCGGAGCCCCTGGGGCCCAGAGCTGCTCTCCACGGGACATGAGCCAGCCTGAGGACCTGCCCGGGGGAGAGGACAGTCGGGGGACTCACCAGCAGAGATGTGCAAAGCAACTGTTTTTAATTCCACAAAGAATGCCTGTTTTTTAGAACAGAAAATGTAACCAGTGGATCAGTAGCAACATAGACCCCGAATGGTGACTGACCCCATAGTTGTAAAGCGTCTGTACTGGGGGGTGCCCAGGCCGGAGGTGCAGGTCCAGGTTATGCTTCAGCGAGATGGCCTTGGGGACGGGGGCGGTCCTGGCACTGTGGACACAGAACCCACTGGCCAGCGTCTCTGGGGCAGAGGCAGTCAGGAGCCCCCACTCCTTGCTGCTGGCCAGTGACCCCTAGGGCCAAGCCTCACTCTGCACCTCACCTCGTGGGCAGCCCGGGAGCAGGAGGGTGGGAGTGATGGCCTGCACCTGACTCCAGGCCCAGCGAGTCCTCCACCTTAGGGACGCCTGGTCCTGTGTCTGTGTCAATGGGACAAGGGTGGCAGGTGAGTCTCTAGGACCACCGCCACTCACAGTGGGCATAGGACACCTGGGTGGGCCCTGGTGGGGAGGTCAGGCGTGCCGCTGGGCTCCATGGAAGCGGCCCACCGGGGGGCAGCACAGCCACCTCCACAGGACCAGCGTGTGTGAACAGACAGGCCACCACCCCAGTCCTGCCAGCCTGGCTAACTGTCCCCTCCCTCCTTCCCAAAGGCCCGAAAGCTGCAGGATGAAGTAATGAAACTGAAGTTGGGACCCACCTGAACCACGGTCACAGGTTCCCAGCTCTCGTGGGGAACCCTCCACTGCGCCCACCTGCGTCACAGCCTCGGAATATATCTTTCAACATAAAATATGAAGAATCCGGAAAAGCTTACAGATACTGATGACAAAGCACTGATGCCCTGACAGAACATCTTCAGCCTGAAAGTGGGTTCAGCACCTCGTTTTCTTCCTCAGATGTCGTCTTGTGCGCTGGGGACATTAGGAGCCAGCTCGGGGGACAGTAGATGGATTTCACGGACAGCCTATTGTTTTTCAATTTACGTTGTTTTTTCTGAGGCTGCAAAAGGTTCAAGGTGCATTAAAAGAAAGAGAATACCGTAAAGGAGCCACGTCATTTTCATTTCTAGGGACATGTTTCTTCTAGTGCAGCTGACACCATGTTGATGTCAGCCCTGCCTCACCCCAGCCTACCCTCAGCCCCTCCCCACCCGTGCGCCCTGGCCATGAGCGTGACCGTAGCTTTTATTGGTTCATTTCGTGCCGCGAGGGCGAGAGCAGGCTCACCGGTCCCTGCCAGGTCGAAGCCCTCCGGTCCCCCTTCGCCCCGAGCCCGGGGGTGCCTGCCGCGGGGGCTCTGGGTGAGCAACCCTCCTCCCACCAGCAGTGGTGTTTTCCTTTGACCTTCACCCTTCCCGTCGCAGACTCCTCACCCTGCGCTCAGGACAGATGGTCGCACCCCACACCCTGCCTGACTTTTCCATCGCAGGTCATGTCTCCCAGGCAGTCTGTTCAGATCGTCCGACTCGGTGCTGCTCTGAACTCATCGCTTCCTGGGCCCAACGGCGCCCCGTGCCTTGGGCTGCACCCCCTCTGCTCCCAGTTCCCCGGGGCCTCCAGCAGCCCTGTGACCTCTGGGTGGGAGTCTCCCAATTGCTGCAGAACTCCCTTCACATCAGCCTTTGCTCCAAGAGTAACCTAAGAAACAGCATACGGGAAAAGTCAGAGACTGTTAGGTGGTTAGAAAGAACAAGCTGATAGAAAGCGTCAGCGTCAGTGCTCAGTGTGGCGGCGACATGAGCATTCACTCCATCTTGATATTCGTTTGTTCAAGTTGCAGCCATTCCATTGTCCTCGTTCATCAGAAGTGTTGTGTCCTTTCATTCCGTTCGTACTGGCAGTCTTTTATGTTCTCTCATAATCAGACAGGTACTTGCCCCTTAATTTTTGAAATTTAAATGTCAACTTTCCTCCATGCTGCCCAGCCCCACCCTTTCCCTTTGCTCGCTGTCCGCCCGCTGCCTCAGATGCAGCCTTTACAGTGTCCCCTCATCTGTGCTGTGTGACAAACTGCCTAGTGGCTCAGACAGCAGCCATTTTGTGGTCTCTCATGACTCGGGTGCACTGGGCTCAATGAGCTGGTTCTGTCCTCATTGTCATCTGAGCAGGGCTCTCGAGTGGGACAGTCGCCCACGGCTGCCGCACATGCCTTGTGCCCAGGCAGTGTCACCTGGGAGGCGCCTGTCCCATGCCCACCGGGCCCCTCCGTGTGGTCCGTGGGCAGGGAGCCCTCCTTGCAGCTCAGGGCTCTGGAGTGCAGAGTGGAAGCTTCTGGACCTGCCTCAAGCTTAGGCCACAAAGGAGCAGGAGAACCCCCCCACTTCCTCACCACAGGAGGCACCCCTGGCCTGGGCGCTGCTGGGGCCTGCATTGCCCTGCAGGGGGCGCCTGGGGCAGGACTTGGCCTGGGCACACAGCTGCTGATGTGGTGGTGGGGTGGGGGGGGGGCAGCTATCCTCGCCCACTGCGCAGACCCTGCCAGTTCTCCGACTCTTACGAGAAAGGTCAGAGGTTGGGTTCTGGCCAAGCAGTTTGAATCAACATGGGGAAGATTTCTCTCCAACACTAGGACAAGCCAGGTCAAATGAGGACCTGGAAAGAGTCCTGGGATTCTGGGATTCTGGGGAGCCTTTGGAGGGGGGTCACAGATTCGCATGGAGTCCCCAGGGAGTGCTCTGCCCCCAGGTTTCTCAATGATCCACCACCAGCTCGGAGCACTCTGCACTTGGGTCCCTTGTCACAGAGAACAGGCTTATCTTAATGAAGAAACAGCTGGTTCAGGAAAAGAAGGGCCACAGATCAACTGTTCAGAAACTAAGGCAATTATTTAGGAAGGAGATGCCACACACGAAGTGTTCTTGCTCAGATACTTGGAACCACAGGGCTCTCAGATCGGGCCTGACAAGGTTCAGGGCCACTGCTGAAAGCCGCCCTGCTCACAGGGGCTGCCTGGGCTCCTCTGCCAGGGAAGCAGCAGGGCACACGTCCTGCGGTGGGTGGAGCGGCTCTCGAGGAGGCACCAGCCCCCTAAGGGCCCTTCAGCATGTCCACCGGCCCAGGAGAAGCAGCAGTGGGAGCAGAGGCTGCACATGGGATGTGGCACAGGTTTGCTGCTCCGCCCAGCCCTGCCCATGGCCCAGGGCCTGAGGACCCCACCACTCGCCCAGCCATCGGGAGAATGGTGATGGCGGTGATGGTGGTGATGCTGATGGTGAGGTGATGGTGATGGTGATGGTGATGATGGTGATGGTGGTGATGGTGGTGATGGTGGTGATGATGGTGATGTGATGGTGATGATGGTGAGGTGATGGTGATGGTGATGGAGATGTGATGGTGATGATGATGGTGATGTGATGGTGATGGCGGTGATGGTGGTGATGGTGATGGTGGTGATGATGATGTGATGGTGATGGTGATGGCGGTGATGGTGGTGATGGTGATGGTGGTGATGATGGTGATGATGGTGAGGTGGTGGTGATGGTGATGGTGATGGTGGTGGTGGTGGTGCCTAGGAGGGAAGCCTGGTCAGCTCATGCACCCCACTCCATCCTGGGCCTAGATGGGTGCTAGCACATGGTAATGGGTGCTCACCAGGCCCTAGTCCTCAAGGGCCTCATCTTGTCCTCTCCCAGCAATTGCTGGGCATGAGACCTGCTGTGAGATGGCCTGGACCTGAGCATTAGGGCCCATCCTGGCTCTCACACCTGTGGGCTATGGGCACCGGCTCTGGGGAGATCTGTGGTTTCTGACCCGTGGCTCTGACCCGTGGCTCTGGCCCTTTGACCAGGCAGCTTTGGTTCCATTTCAGAAGTACCTGGCTGTGCTGTAAGAGACCCACCCACTGGGCCAACCCAGGTAAGCTCTAGTAAGAAGAAGTGGGAACAGGCCCAGGTAGGGCAGGCTGGCCACCTGGCCAGGCAAACCCAGAACAGGCCTGGTGACCGTGGCAGCTTTCATTCCAGTCATGGGGAGGCCCCTGTGGTTCTCCCATCTCAAGGGAGAGACAGAATGAGAGGTGACAAAGGTAATTACGTAGCCAGAAGCACAGTGCTGGGCAGGGCTTGGCAGGCTCCCCTGTGGGTTAAGGGGCCAGGAGGAGGTCTCCTGAAAGACTGGAAGGGGTGGGTGGGGCTAGTGGGGCCAGGCTGCTGTGGGGGCAAATCCTGGAGCACCTCCAAGGACCAGCACAGAGGCCAGGACCCGGAGGGGAAGTGTTCCCAGAGGTCACCCCCTGTCTGAAGCATTCCTGCCACCATCGCTCCTGCCAGCTCATGGTCACCCACCTCAGCCTCACTGAAGGTACTGGCTGGTCTCCTGTCCCCCTCCACACCACTGCCCTGCCCATCTGACCAGGCTGGCCAGCCCTGGCCGCTCTGCCATGCTCAGGGCAGGCCGGGTCAAGGGCCGGGTGCTGGGTAGGCCTGTCTGTGGCGTGGCTGCGAGGATGAAGGCTTTACAGGCAAAGTCTGAAATCTAGGGAGAGGCTCAGCCAGGTTTTCCCTCAACCAGGGTCACTCTGCAGCCCCTGTGTGGGCTGTCAGCGGGCAGCCGGCCGTGGCTCTCGGTTCCCAGAATGTTCTTTCCAGGACCAGCCAGTCGTCACTGATGGCCACGCACAGGCCTGGCCCATGAGGGGGCAGCACCGGGTGGGGAAGGAGGCCACGTGTGGGGACAGCACCCAGGCCCCCTGGGCTGATCAGGCCCTTCCAAAGGACATCCCCACTTTGATCTGGGGCTCGAGAAACTCCCCGCGCCTCGTATAAACAAGAGTGAGGTGGGGGGAGCCAGTGGGGAGCAGCAGGTGGGTGGGCAGGTCGGCCAGGCGGGGCCTAACACAGCCACAGTTAAACTGCAAACCTATCCACTTTTTTTTTTTAAACTTCCTACCTTGTGGAGACGGGTCTGTAAAATGACTTCAAGTTCCCTGAAAAAGTGCACAGCGCACAGCACAGATGGGGCGGAGGCTGGAAGAGCAGGTGGGGCACCCTTCTCACTTGTCCTCCCGCCTCTCGGTTCTGTGTGCGCCCACACTCACCCACGTCCCGTCAGACTCCCCTACCCCAGCCTGTTTTCAGGTGTCTCTATCCCACCTAGCTCCTCCCCCTGACACCTGGGAGTTACTAGGGAAGCCCCCTTCCTCCCAACACCAGGTACCTTCCAGAGGGTCCCCTTCTGTCCACCCCCCTGCACCCATTTTAGCTCAGCCAACTAGCAGGCTTATGTTGCTTCCCACCGCCACGTGAGGCCCCTTCTCCCTCTGGGTGGATGCCTGCTCACTCAAGCATCACACCTCCCGGCACACTTTCCAGACACCCCCATCCACACACAGCCCCCTGTGCACACGTTGATACACCCAAAAAGATGTCCCACCAGCTCGGAGCTAACTCGAACCCTGGATCCCTGGTACGTGGTGCAGTCTGTCCCCAGTGCTCAGGAAAGGCTGTGCCCAGCAGGCACCTGGAGGCCTGCTGGCACCTGTGCTGAGCTGGTGGGCAGCCTCTGGCCAGTCCCCTGCCCTTCAGTGCCAGCAGAGGTCCCTGTTGCCTGGCCTTTCTGCTCCAATGTCAGCCCCAGGAAGCTCTGGAGGGGAGCGGCTGCAAAGGCTTGTGGGTGAAGATAGCAGTCAGACCCCTCTGGGAGCTGAGCTGTCACAGAGAGGGGTCAGCTGACCCGGGAGAGGTGGCCAGGCTGAGGTGCCTGAGACCTGCTGGCGGGGTTCCTCTGGTGTCCGCTGGAACCCCAGCCATGCAGAGGACGGGTGCTGTGCTCCCACACCTCTGCTGCGACCTCTCCCAGGGCAGGACTCAACATGCCTCTTGGGCCTCGATACCCAGCCCTGAACAGCTGGGGGCAGTGAGGCTGTGAGGTCCCCGCGACCTCCCTGGCTCCCCTGGGGCTCCGCTCCGACGGCTCTGTGCCCCGCGGCCGCCTGAGGGCGAGGACGAGCGGCGCCACAGCGGCCCCACGGTCCCTGGCGGCGCCAGGGGTGGCGTCCACGACTGAGGGCCGGGCCAGGCGGGGCCCAGCGCGGAGCTCGGAGGGGCGGAGCCAGGCGGCGGGCGGCGTCCAGGTCGTCAGGACAACCGGCGGCTCGCCAGCCTCCGCTGCCCAGTCGGGCGCGCGGGCAAGGTCGCTGCAGCTGGCTGAGCCCCGCGCGGACGCTCGGGGAAGGCGAGAGCTGTGGGCGGAGTTGCGTAGGGTTAAGGCCCGGGCGAGGGTCCTGAGAGGGGTCCCGCGTTCACGCGGCGCCTCCGCCTCCCACTGTCCCCCGGCCGGCCGGCTGCGGGCGCCGGGGAGCCCCGCTGGCGCTCGGGGAAGGTTCCTTCCCATTGTGAACTGGCCGCGTGGCGCTCCCGCCCCTCCGGCCGCGGGGGCGTCTCACGGAACCCACTTTCCCCGCGACCCGGGAGTCGGGCTCGCGATGAGACTTGCGGACCGGGTCCCACCCCGCCCCCAGCCCCGCTGCGGGCCACCCCGAGCGCGCAGGGCAGCTCAGAGCCCGGCGCACACCCGCCCGTAACTCGGGGGGGGGACGCCCAGCACGCGGGCGTCGCCAAGGGCCCCTTGCGCGGCGAGGGAGCGACTGGGCCACTGCGGCGCGCCCGCCGCTGCCCCTCGCGCCCCGCGTCTCCTCGGCCGGGCCTGGCCGGCTTCCTGCTCGCTCCGCCCAGACTTCCTCCCCGCAGTACCCGAGCGGCCGCTGGGCGCCAGACCTGGAGGCGGAGGTCCGGGGTGCCGCGACGGGGGTGCCCGGGCAGGGCCGCGGAGCGAGGAGAGGAGGCGCCCGGGTGGGGGAGGGGCCCCGAAGCCGGGACCGCGGCGGCCCCCGGGCTCTGCTCCCGGGTCCTCCCCGCGGACGCCCGCGGCCAGCGTGCCGGAGGCCGGGCGCAAACTCTGCCCCATCCCGGGAGCTGCGCGGCGCGTCTTCACGCCGAGCTCCGGAGGCGGCGCGGTCCCCGCGCGCCTGGGGGCGCGGGGTTCCGGGCAGCGGCGCGGGCGGGTGCCCCGCGCGCCCT